CTTCTTGATAAACTAATTTTAAACCTTCAATTAAATTATGTTTCTTCTCGTCCACATATTGCGAATATTCATTAAAGTGTTTAACTTTGTAATGTCTCTGAAGATTAAATTTTTTTATAATATTTGGTTGATAACCACACAGAAGACAGGTGGTTTTATTACAAATGGAAGCGAAAAACATTTCCTTCCATGTCTTATCAAAATTTTGCACATACCTTTGCTGACTTTGCTCCATTCTTGTAATAAAAATTGTCGAGGCCCAGAAAAAATCCAGAGGAAATCTTGTCTTTTAAATCGCCCTTTAAATGTGACGTCCACGGAAGCGTCTCGCAGAGTGAGACTCGCTGATTGTCGAAAAACAAATAAAGACAAACAATTATCTCTTTATTTGTATTCATCTGCGTAAATGATATAGCTTCTTTTTTAGAGCAAAAATTAAAATTTTTATTAAAATCTTGTTGCTATTTTTCATTATGCCTTGATGAGAGCACCGATAATCGGCATATAAGTCAATTGAGCATTTTTGTTCGAGTCGTGCAAAACGATTTTTCATGTGTCGAGGAGCTCTTAGATTTTATCTCATTACATAATAGAACGACAGGCGTTGATATTTTCAAAGCTGTTAGCCAAACCCTTGAGAAATTTAATATAGATTTTTCTAAATGTTCAGCTATCGTAATGGATGGCGCAAAAGCAATGATAGGTTCCAAAAATGGATTCTTCGGCCAATTAAAGCAGCGAAATTTAAATATCCCTGTTATACATTGTATTATACATCAAGAAGCGTTATGTGGGAAAGTTGTGAAATTATGCAATGCCATGCAAACCGTCACAAAAATTGTTAATACAATTAAAGGCGGTCATAAATTCCTATCTCATCGGAAATTTCAACTCTTTCTCGAGGAACATAACGCAACATATACAGATGCGCCTCTGCATTGCGAAGTTCGGTGGCTTAGTGCAGGAAAATGTTTAGAAAAGTTCTTTGCATTGAGAAAAGAGATCTTCCTTTTCTTACAAGAACAATGTTCAGCAAAATATGAAGAATTTAAATTTTTTTTCGAAGACTCGCTTTGCGAACTTGCTCTAATAACCGACATGACAAACTACTTGAATATTTTAAATTTAAAGCTGCAAAAGACCGATCAAATTATTTCACAATTAGTTAGTCATGTCGATTCTTTTCGCAGGAAACTGCTATTATTTAAAAATCATTTACAAAATAATATTGCATTTTTTCCCTTCATGCCAGATTCTCTTTGAAGACCACATAACTATTATCGAATCCTTAATCGATCAATTTGATACGCGTTTCAGAGATCTTGAAATGCTACGAAAAGATTTAATACTTTTCGAGAATCCTCTCACAGTGCAAATCGAGGAACAAAGCCTAGAATTTCAGGCAGAACTTTGCGATTTGCAGTGTGATCTTTCTTTAAAGGCGCGATTATAGAAAAAGGAATCGAATTCTTCAAATTATTAGATGTGTCATATTATCCACATCTTAGAAATTTCGGTCTTCGAATTTTCTCCATGTTTGGGTCCACATATTTATGCGAATGTTCTTTTTCCAAAATGAAAATAATTAAAACTGAAAAACGTTCCTCCTTAAGCGACGCATCATTATCCTCACTGATGCGAATTAATTCTTCTAAAATTTTTGTGGATATCATCCCTAGTAGAATCGTATAAACGACCCAGAAAATCTAAATAAAGTTCTTATTTTTTAATTATTTTCTTTCTATTTTCTCATAATATTGTTTTTCTGCCAAGCCACCGCACTTTTTATTATTTTCAGTGGAATAGGCCTACTGGGGAAACCACTATGAAAAAAACGCATCTGCAATAGTACCTCACGGGTGATGTGGAAAACTATTGTTGTGTAAGATTATAATTATTAAATATTATTTTTAATATTTATATTATTTCTATTATTAATATAATTATAAATGTAATCTATAACATATATACGTATACAATATATATACATGTATCTATGAACAATATAGATTACATTTATAATTACATTAATAATAAAAATGTTAATATTCAGTTATTATTTAACAAAAAATATAAATAATGTAATAATAATGACGATTTGGCGGAAGGCACAACTTAATATGTTTAGCGACGCTCCTGAGATATAGCGTTGCCCGGAGTGACGACGACTCCGCCGTCGAGTTTCGACGGTAGTGGGGGAACCCGCCCCGTCGCTCGCGAAATCGGCTCGAAAAGAGCAACTAATTCCGAGCACTGTATTATATATATATTATATATATATATATATATATATATATATATATATATATAATATATATATAGATATAATTACAAACAAAAATATAGAGACTTATACGATAGAGCACGCAACGTCAAAACATTTAAAATCGCTGTTGTTAATTTTGTGCGAACTCTATATATGTATTACAGAGAGAGAACGCGCTTTCCCAAATGTTTCTCGTACGGAAAAAAAGCGAGCCGAAAGAGAAAGAGTACACTTCTATCCTTTAAGCTTTATAAACAAGCTTTGTATAAACTCTGTTTAAATTTTTCATTAACGTTTATTATAATCGGGCATATTTTTATCTACGGAATTAAAAAGAAACTTATTAAAAAATTATACTGAGAAAAAACGAGTGAAATAAAAAAGAGCTATCTCTTTTGACTCGTCAGTGCGCGTTCCGATATATAAAGTTCAGTGATCCGTAACTAACTCGCGATATTAAAAAATAAATAAATTAATAAAAGTGCGTGCTGCATTCGGATAGTACCAATAAAAAAATATATATATTATATGGCACTTGACCGTCGCGGCTAAAAGTATATAGGATTAGATAGATTTATAGAAGCGCAAAACACCAAAAATCGTTCCTTCCACCCGCTCCGACCGTGTATTCGATTATCGATTTTAAATATATCGCATCGCATACGTGAAGTCAAAACTCTGTGAAATTTAATAAAAGCGCACCTCGGAACGCAATTAGCATCGTCATCGTTTTATTAACATAAAGAAAGAAAAGGAATTATATATATATTATATAGTTGCCCTGAATAACATCATTGAAATAAGTTATTCAACGAGTGTTTGCGAAAGATAATTTTTGTACAGTTCTGGCACACACGAGAAGAACGTGCAACATCGTCGTCGTCTTTATATTTATGTACATTTTAATTATTATAAATTTTTCGATATTATTATCGAACTATGATCGATTTCGTGTGAAAGTGTATATGGCTTTTTCTGCGGTTAACAATAAAATGTTGTCAAAGCTTTTTTCACGATATATATTTTATTATATTTTTCTTACCTTTCTCCTGCGTTATTCTAATATCCTGTTGTATTATATCCTTGTTGATCGAGATTCTAATCTATATTCGCTATATAATAATTATGCATTATATTGTGAATTAAATTGCATGGTAATTTGAGAAAATAAATTGATTATAACACATTATTATTATAATTATTCATAAAAGAATTGTTTTATTCAAATATAAAAAAGTTATATTCAAAATAAATTTTTAAATAAGTTTTGTTCCTCCAATTGCACCATTGTGTAAAAGATGCTGTAACAGACAAAAATTGATTATTTTTATAAAAAAAAATATTCCTGATAAAAAGTTAAATGCCGTAGAAATATCAGTACGAATGGGTTATCATCTTTCATTCAGGACTCTAGCCAAGTATTCATCAGATTATCTATTACATAAATTTGTCATCTGTAAAAATGTTATCTATTTATATTTATTCGTTTTTTATAATATAAAATGCTATTATATAAATTTATTTTATTTTAAAAATCTAGTTGATTACATCATTTATAAAAAGAACCGAACTCGTAATATTCTTCGTTTAATATTCTCAATTCATATTTCTATCATGCCTGGTCTCTTATCGAATTTTTTATTTAATTAATAAGTATGAGCAAACTTTTTTTTACCTTTTTTGATTCCGTGAAAACTCGAGTGCCTCGTAATCCCTGTACAAAATACCAGTCAATTAAAAATCAGTACGTAACTAACTAACCGGACAGTAAGATATAATTCAAGACTTGCTTCAGTTAATAAAAAATTGTACACGTTGGAATTAAAGTTTGACATCAGGTGTCAGTCCCGAAAGTATTTCATCATTTACAAGTCTTTATATTTTACATCATTATTGATAAAATTATAATTAATATTAAAAATATTATTTATATTATTATGATATTAGTTATTAAAATATAAAGTTTTGTATTATATATTCAAATATATATGCACGCATTTTTTATTAAATATATTTCTAAAAATTCTCACCTTTAATTAAAATTGATATGTTCCATGTATTACATCAATTTTCGTTTTTCCTCTTTATTTCAGGTCACGGATCTTCAATGCAAAAAATAAAAAATAACAAAATTACATATAAAAATACATAACTAACTAACCGAGCAGTAAGATATAATTAGAGACTTGCTTCAGTTAATAAAAAATTGTACACGTTGGAATTAAAGTTTGACATCAGGTGTCAGTCCCGAAAGTATTTCATCATTTACAAGTCATTATATTTTACATCAATATTGATAAAATTATAATTAATATTAAAATATATATGCACGTATTTTTTATTTAATATTTCTAAAAATTCTCACCTTTGATTAAAATTGATATGTTCCATGTATCACATCAATTTTCGTTTTTTCCTCTTCATTTCAGGTCACGGATCTTCAATGCAAAAATAAAAAATAGTAAAGTTAACGATATACGTGTTATTTTATCGTATTGATCGTATAATCATGTCTCGATTATATTCAGTCAACAAATCTTCTTGCACTAATTTAAAATCATTAGAATCATTAAAAATGTATCATCATAACAAACAATTAAATAAAATAAAAAACAACAATGTACGTGTTTGTGTATGTGTACGTGTGCATACAAAGATATATTAAAAATTTTACAAACCTTAAACGTGTAGATCAGTTATTATTTCATGTAATAACAAGCATGGGCGTTGTTGCAAGCTATCGAGCTGTAAATCGTAAAAAGAAATATTATCGAATGTAAAAAATATTTATTAAAATATCAATAAAATTTTCCAAGCATAATCAGTACGTTGAGATCATTTTACTATTACAGATCTTTGAAATAAGATTTACGTTATAATGTGCAACTCTTTTTAAGAACAAATCGATCAATAATATAAAAATAAGCTTACAAGCATACTTCTACGCAAAAGAAAAATTCAATCGCTCAATTTATAATTTAAATAGTTTAATTTAAAACTAATTAAATAGTATTGAAAAGTACCTATATATTTTTAAATGATCTTCTTTCTGTTCAACCAGCTGGTGCGCTAATCTGAAAACACATAAGATTTGATAAATATATCTTTGTTAAGTTTGTCATCCTTAGATGATTTAGATTTCAAAAACTTGGATGTCCATTAATTTCAGCCTATAAACACGAAGTATATGTTGTTTTTGATAATCACAGATAGCATTATGTATTTTATATCAAAAGTTTAATGCAAGCATAATGATTTTCAACGTCTTGTAAAACGGCGATATATGATTAAAAGTAACACTTGTATTATATAAGTGTTTTAAATAAATTGTGTTGGTATATATTTATGCGATTCTCGAAGTTTTGTATTACTGTAATAAATATATATATATATATATATATATTTTTTTTTTATTTACTTATATAGAAAACACAAAAAATGTGTAAACAAAATAATTTTTCACATAGTAGATTATAAAATACATTCAATATGCTGAGGTGTGTAAAAATAAAACTATGACATTTAAAACATTTATAAATATGCCATTATGCAATTATCATCAAAATTATAATATTGATTTGAAAAAAGTTATTATAGCAGATAATTCTTAATTTGCTCCAAAATAATTTTGTTTCGTTATCCTAAACGATCAAATTTTTAATATATTCTAATATCCTGTAATATGTTTTGCTCATATAACGTTGCGATGTATACGAAAATATATATGTACCTAAGAAAGTCGAGAATTTCTTGCAAAACACTGATTTGTTTTCAAATGCGAGAAAGAACAAATATTAGTCGCAACTAATTTTGACTACGTTTGCGTTAGAATAAATAATTTTGAAGAGAGCATATGGTACCATTATTTATAGAAAATTTTTTTGAAATTTCTGAATTTTTTACTTTAGATTTCTCGATATACAAAATATTATGAAATACGCTACAAAGCTATGAAGCTGCATCAAGAAGCGAACTACAGATGATTTGCATGTTTTTCTCGCATTTAATTTTATCCAAGATCTAACATTCATATGTGTTAAAAAATGTTCCCTTCCCACAAAATCATTTTATAGTTAATATCCACATTTTCTATTTCACGATTTTTTATCACATCGCTATATAAAAAATTGTTTCTCAGAGCTAATAAAAATACATCACCTCCTTGTCACTCAAAGTGACATAAAAGTAAGAATTTGTTAAACTTATTATCTATATCACAGCCTAGATTTCAATAGCTAGACCTAGACAACCTTTTATTAAAGTGCATATGACCAGATATCGTGGTTGTCATAGGTAAAAAGAAGTACCGTCTAGGCTGATCAAATGCTTAATTCGTCACACATGATTATTTAGAGTAAAATTTATTAGAATATGATTTATTAAACGAGTCGGAGATAAAAGCATTTATGAAATGTAAAATTATCTGTTTGAATAATATTAGTTGCATATTTGTTATATATCCCATTATATAAATTCCAATCAACTTTATCAGTACATAAAGTTTGTCAGCAAACGTTACAAAGTAATCCTCATACATAGTCTGCTTTCGATATATTTAGAACATATGTATATATGTTCTAAAAGTCACAACAGAAATACATTATGTAAAAAGGATTTGAAATGTAGCTTATATTGAGTAATCGATAAACGATCACTTTGTAATTTTTGCTAATAGTTCAACGTCCCACCCGAAGATTAAAGTAAAATTATGCATAATAACAGTTTTACAAAATTTACTCACCTCGTTAACAGGTAGTTCATTGACTAGCAGTTTCGAGTAAGTAAGCTTATCTTGTGATTGCAGTCTCTTCTCCATTAAAAAGATTCTTGATTAATTATATTCAGTTCTAAATGAATATTATTAAATACTGGAACGTGGAAGACAGAAAATGCTGTTTTTCTTATTATTCATAATGATTCTTAAAGAATCAGGACAATACACAAAATTGTCATATCATTACAAATAATGGAAATGGAAATTACATTATTAGAGAATCCTTGGATCGTAGACATATCGTATATCAGACTTTTTCTATTATGAAGAAAAATTTTTTACTATCTAGTTTATAAGAATAAAGAAACTTCAGATGTATAATCAAATAAAAATTAATTATATAAATTTTAATAATTGCAGGTTCTCATTAAAATCATTTTTGTAAATCTGGTCTCAAATACTCTAATTATATATTAAAACATTATTTTAAAGAGAATTTTAGCTACTATAGAATATTTTTTATTTCAACATTTTCATTTCTGTAAACGAGGCATCTGTTTGTTTAATGACCATTATTGTAAATTGTAATTTTTTCACACAAATTGTACATAAAGTACAATTTTAAGTAATATCTTTTAGATATACCTAGAATAAAAAAAAATAAATAAATAATTGTAAAACACACACCCTCGCGCACGCGTACACGAAGATATTTATTAGGAACCCTTTCTGAAATAATTTTAACTTATAAAATCTTGCCTACAAAAAACATGGAAAATCGTTGAACTGAAAGTTAAATAAAAACTAATCGGGAAATATTTTATATAATAGCAAAAAGATATAACCTGTATTCTGAAGTAAATTATGCACGCAATTTATAGAAAAGAAAATAGAATAATTAGTAGTAATATAATTCAATAATTAATAATATGTAAATATAAGTATAAATTTGTATATTATATACCTTTATTTTTAAAATCACGCTTCTAGATTAAGTTTTTTTCACAAAGTATAGAATATTATATTTGCAGATAGTACTGCAAGAATATGTGTATATATGTGTATATATAATATCTTAGACTAAAATAATCATTGATGAATATTTAAGAACTAACAAATTTGCATATCATGATGTAATCACCATGCTCAGCACACCTAGACAATGACATAATACTAATTTTCAGGATAAAGTAGTGTATTAGTGCAGATCTTGCTTGGAAACGGTTCATTCCGTCATAACGTCTGTCGTCGCTTACATTAATGTTGTTTTCGTAATTTAGATAGAAATACAAAATAATAAGATAAAGAAATTGCGATAGTTTTATCAAGAAAATAATGTAGCCTGCTAAATAAAATATAGAATTAGAAATAATATTGTCTAAATTTTCACAATGAACAATTTAACAAAGTAATGATATATTAAAAAAAAAAAAAAAAAAAAAAAAAGAAAAAAGAAAGTCATGTCATAGAAAAAAATTCATGTTCCGTTATTTTAATATTATTTACATTTTCCAACTATCTTAAAATAAATCATTCCTTTGAATCTTACTTCATAGTTAATTTATCTCATACTTTATATATAAATATGAGATAAATTAACTATAATAATTCGAATTCATGATTTTATATGATATTTATGATATATAGATTATATTTTTGTCTCACATTTATATACCATAAATATGAAATACATTAACTATGAAGCATAAGACTCAAGTTATAATGACTTTTAATTAAGTCATGATACAAATTGGAGATACGAAATTGCGAAATAAATTGCGTCCAATACCGCGTGTACGTAAAATATTACTTTCCATTAATGATATTAATGCATAAACCTCTCAGCGTAAAAATATCAATTTAAAGCAGATTTCTAAAACGCATAACAAATCGTTGGCGCGTTATTCTCTTAATTCAATATCGTTGGTTGATATATATCCAACGGGAGTACATGTTCGAGAAGAAATGTCATCTGGAGGACACAGAATCTGTCAATGTATCAAAACACTATGATATCTAAATCCAAACTTTCACGCATTCCAAATCTTCGCAAATCGGGATATTAAAATTCCGGATGGTGTTTCAATATATCATTCTCATAAATCATATTCGATCTTCTACGCTACTTTCTCCTTCTCCATTTCCTCTTTGGGTTATCAAGATAGACAAGTGATATAAAAGTGAGAGAAATGAATGAAGGACATAGTACGATTTGCAGTGTCACTTCAAGAAATCAATGGAACAAGATTCCACATTGCGCATTGCTTTAATATCGTCGACGTTTGTTAGGATAATCGTCCGGGCGATTTCGATCGTTTCCTTGCCAACGTCCACTACCACCACTACCTCCGCGACTACCACCCATATTGCCCATATCAACCCTCATATCCATTAAATCCATTATCTGTCCGCGATCATCGTTATAACCACCTCCCCCTCGACTACCGCGATCCATATTATTATACGCATCCATGAAGGATTTTGGATCCTATGGAAATATGCAAAGAAAATTGTGGGAAAGCCGAACAATAATTTTTTTGGTTGCGGTAATCATTGATGAGAATGTCGTTCGCACATCACAGAGAAACGCACGATACGCGTGTGTGCGTGTGATTTGCGGATGTATTATAAGTACATTCCGTACGGTTCAGGGCGACCATCCATGTTTGTCAGCAGCACAGGTCGTCAATTTTCGTCAAATCACATAGAAAAGAAAGGGGAAAATACAATGTTAGATTGCTGTTTTTGCGTTGTTGCGCGCAGTGTACACTGCGTTAAATACATCTCTTATTAATATAGTTTTTGTTTTTTCTGGCGTATACGTTCTGTGACATTAATTGATTATTAGACCAAGAGAATGCCCAACATAGACAGACGGACAATATTTTCGTTAGGTCAATGGGCAAATGTCAGCGTGTAATCGTTCATTATGTTTCCATAATTTTATCTCATACATAATTTATCCTCTTAAAACACAACTTCGACCCACGAATAATAACTTGAAAATCACATAACAATAAACACAACCGCGAAACGATTGTGTTGCGTGTTAGCGGAATTAAAGTTTTAAATTAGAGTCAAAGTATGATTAAGAAAGATAAAATTAATCAACTGATAAATTATTATTGAAGATTGCTAGTTTTGTAATAATGCAAACGTTTGTTCATTATATATCAGAGAGCCTATAAATTGGGTGACGATATAGGGTTCACTTTTTTTATATATCGCATGGCGATAAGTAGAAATTGTCTACGTGTTCCCTGTATAGATGTACATAACATAGCATAAACGCTATGTTTATACGTCTGTATTCTACGTGATTAATCTACATAAAATTTCTCCCAGTCCCAATAAAGTATGACAATGATTAAATAGTCATATAAATCGTTGTATATTGGATAGAAAATTTATGAGTTTTATACCTCGTAATCAGAGAGTGATAAGGAGATATAGCAATCAATGCATATAAAAAGATAAATCGCAATAAAGAGATTCATTCATCGGTTTATCATATAATAAATCAATTTCACGTGTTAGAAGAAGCTGAGAATAACTTCTATTGCTTAATAGTAAAGTACTGACATTCAATTTTTATTTATACGTAATCTAGAAACTCCGAGCACAAACGCAAGCAGCGAAGAGACGTGATCAAGGTCTCTAAGCAAACTTTTTTTAATGGTGCTCGTACTTTAGATACGTATTATATTGCAAGTCAGTATGCATATAAAATATTAATATTATAAACATACACACATAAAAATGTGCATAGATATTAACATTTTATACGAAGAGTATTTCAAGTACTAAAGTCAGCATAAAGTTTAAAACAAATAGACAATTCAGATTAATCTAGTTGGAGAATCTGCCAAGATGTATCAGAATTAAGAATTTCCTGAGAGATATTTTCGTCTTAATAATATCTTAATAAAACTATCTTGGAAGAGAAAGTCTAGTTGGGCATTTCTTGGTCAATATATGTATATATATAGTTACTATGGAACCATATTGTTTGTACATTTTTTTCCGTTTCATTTTTTGTATCATTCTTTTTATTTATCTACTTTATCACAGAAAGCATGATAAACACCGCGATATCTAATTATGAAAGTTTATAAATGTTCCATAGTAAACAAAATTGATCTTAACGCTACAACAGAATAATAGATCACAGAGTCTCTTGCCTGCAATCATGTGGAGAGACCAATGTGGCAGTTATATTTGTAGATCTAAATAATTTTCACGAAGAGTTTAAGAAGTATATTATCATAATGATATGCATTATTTTCATATGTGGCATTATTTTATAAATCAATTTCGAAAGGTCAGAAATATCACCCAAAATAAGTTTTTCTGTGTCTATGTCCTAATTGTTATAACATTAATTGTTATATAGTGTAACCTATTAAGTAAATTTTTTATATTCGTAAAAAATTATTGAGGTTACTAATGGTTAAGTAACCTCGGTATTATTTGGTCACAAAACTTAACTACAATGTTTGTAGCAGAGAGTAGTATTATAAAATGCTTTTTTTATAATTAAACCTGCAGTTTATTAATTTGTCCCAACGCTGCAGTAGAATTTAAATATTGCGCTATTCGCATACATAACGCGCTCGGCAATATATAAGAAAGTCAGAGACTCAAGCAAAATTTTCAGAAATCATCGCTAAAATCATCAACATCAGCACTTTCGATGAAAGATTTTGCATCATGAATGGATTTTATAAAATGAGATATTCATGCATCTTCAGATGCGAAAAGAAACTGTACTTATCAGTAGAAATATATTCATCAGTTAGATATAGCAATATCTAGTAGCTATATAAGTTTAGATTTTTGCATTATTATGGCAATATGTCGATTAATAAAGATTATACTAAATATAAGTAAAAAGTCATTATTAGAGCATTGACACTTCATATAATTCTGAAGTGTCGTTTTTCATTGTATGTTTCTATGCACATCATTGATTCCTCCACATGTTACAATTATCAACAATTGATTTTTATGATTCTTTATTACTTTAATTAAAATTAAAAATAATGAAAGAAACATTCATTGATTTTGCAGACATTAGAACTCTGGTTATATTGAAGAGCATGCTCAATTGGGGATAATACTATAGAGATATAATATTTCATTAACTCTCCTGATTTAACTTTATGGTATTATATATCACATAAATATCTGCGTTTTGCAACAAATCATGCATGACGCAATATTTCAATCATTGTAACGAATGAAGTTTGCGCAAAACGCGTGAGAATATATTTTGAAGTTGTACCTTTTAAGAATGGAAAAAAAGAGAAATGTCCATAGGAAGACGTCAAACCCCGCAAGAAAAAATAACTTAATGCTAGAATGTAGATTGAAAAAGAACGTAATAAAAATTAAAACAGAAAGTAATAAATAAAATGAATACGTTACCACAGGCATGCCGCTTCCACCTGTAAGGAATAAGACAAATATATTGTTAAAATATGTAATATAAAAATATAACAATGCAAATATAAACAAATATAACGCTGAAAAGTTATAGATAACAATAACTTGAGACACATTCGTAAACTGTATGTTAACTTAAATACTTGTATTTCTATGCATAATACAGAGATTATTTTATAAAATTATATAACTCTGATTATGGCTGCAATTCACTTAATGCTACAAATATTTCAGCGCTCTTCTCTTTTCTTCTAATACAAGAAAGAGAGGAAAAATACTTTAAAGCATTTGTAGCATCAAGTGAATTGCAGGTTATGTATTGATATAGTTTTTAATAAAATTTGATTTTCAAGTAAAACTTACCATCAGGTTGGCCATATCCATCACGATCATTATTGCTCACAGAGTCGTAATTCTTTCCACTTCCACTACGAATTGCCTGCTCCTTCATTAGAAAAAAAAATTATAAATACATAGTAATTAAAATAATTCATTTTTGTCTGTTTTAAGAAAGCTATATTATATATAGTGAGCAAGTTAAGAACTTTACGAACCTGCATAAACAAATTGTTTTCTTGTTGACGCCTATGTAATTCCTCTTCCTGTCTCCTAATACGTATAGCCATCTCTTCTTGCTGACGACGCCTTAATTCTTCGTCTCGAGTTCTTTGCTCTTCGGCTTGTCGCTCCTTCATTTCCCACTCTCTCTTCTGTCTTTCTCGATCCGCCTCGCGCATGCGTAATTCTGCGAAATAAAATAAAATAATTATTTATATGCGTGTAAAGATAATTAACAGTATTTTATATACTAAATTAGAATACATACGTTCTCTCAAAAGTTCTGTTTCGTGTTCGTATCTAGCGAATTCCATTTGAGCTTCTAATTTTTCTTCTTCCATTGCCATTTCTCGTTTCAATGCCTCTTCTTTCTGTTTATACAGTTCATGTAATTGTTTCCATCGTGTACCGTATTCATGCTCGAAGCTTCCTAACTGTGCGAAGCGTGGTCCAATTTCACGTGCTTTGAAGAATTCTGGATTCTTGCGTGGCAAATTCTTATCAGGATAACCATCCACGTCATCTTGTTGCTCAAACAATTCCACGATTACTGGTCGAAGAGAACTGAAATAAGATAATAAAATTTTTTAATTAATTTTAAAATTTAATTTTGTATATTTATTTATAATCTTGTGTTTTACAAGTCAGCACACAGCCAATTATAGATTTAATTAACCATGTTTCCTATGTAAAACTGCATTTTTCTATACCCCTACAATTATTATTTTGGCACTTGTTTGTAGATTACAATTTATCAAACAAGCGTGGCGTCGGGGATTTGTTAAAGTATGTCAAAAATTTTAATAACTTACGCTGTAACGAAATAGCAACCTTCTGTACATTTTCTCAGGGCCAGCTGAGCGGATGGTTTTCGATAAAACTCGACGATTCCTTCGCCAGTGCTTTTGCCTCTTTCGTCAACTTTGACTATTGCACGCTCGATCTCGCCGAATACGCTAAAGGCTCTCTCGAGAAGTTCGTTAGATGTCCAAGGGGTAAGATTTTGACCTTGATTGTCGATGGATGAGGAGCAAAGCGTACTTTTAATGCACGACCTTTGCGCATTGTACCATCTAATTCACGTTTTGCTGTGTCAGCATTTGCTTTATAATCCTAGAAATAGAGCAAAAAAATAGTTACTCTAACATGTCATTATAAAATGTGTAATATTTTAATAAAAATAACATGATCATCTAAAAAAATATATTATGCAGCCAGAAATTTTTCTCATGATGCATCAAACGGTAATTTTTATAATCATTTCATGTTATCAACAAGAAAAGTTTTTATATAGATATAATTTGATAATAAAGTTATTATATACAATTTATATAATTACCATTCTGAGAAAAGCAAAACTTTTCTCTTTATTTACAAACAGTTCAGATATTTCTCCATATTTTTGGAACATAGTTTGTATTTCTTCTTCGGTCACATCATTTGTCAAGTTTCCAATATATAAACGATTCCTACCACTAAATTTCTTTTCTGTTGTGTCCAATGGAGCTATTTCATGAGTGGGTCCACCAATAGCCATGACTCGTTCCATCAATCGATCCTGAATGTGATATTTAAATATAATAGCAGTTATCGTGATAAACGATAGAATAATAAATAAGAAAGAAATAATAATAAGTTATAATCTTACATCTTGAGATCTATTGGTCATATTTCTGTCACCACCACCACGACCACCTCTTCCTCCTCCTCGCATTCCACCACGACCCATGCCCATGCCCATGCCACCACCCATTCCACCCATGCCACTTCAGATATTGGGTTATCCATCCTCCATCCATAGAGTCGCCCATTTTCATCTGTAAAATAAAATAATTATCTTTGTGTAATAAAACTATAAAAATATATGCTATAAATATACTATAAGTATACTATAAAAATCTTTTAAGATGATTTAAAAATAATTCTGCATATGTGTTTTTTATATTAATATCTTTATAATTTTGTGTTTTACAAGTCAGCACACAGCCAATTATAGATTTAATTAACCATGTTTCCTATGCAAAACTGCATTTTTCTATACCCCTATAATTATTATTTGGCACTTGTTTGTAGATTACAATTTATCAAACAAGCGTGGCGTCGGGGATTTGATCCTTTATTATACATTTGCATATTTGTTTATATTTAAAAATATGTACATTATAATCTATTCATCGATACAATATTCACATGTTTATTGTAATATCTTTCTATAAAAATTTGTAGATGTGATAACTTTCAAAATAAAATTTTACACATTTTTTATACTATATATCTTTTTCAAATTTGCATATTTAATTTGCTTTATTTAAAAATATGGATATTAATATATTTATCAATATATTCATTTGTTTATTGAAATAGCTACAAAATTTTTTTGTAGATGTGATAAAATAAAATTCCACCCACATTTTATACTAAATATCTTTTTTACACATTTGCAGAATTAATTCGCTTTATTTAAAAACAAAAATATTAATATATTTATTCCTTTATCAAAATAACATTCCTTAAAAAAATTTATAGATATATTAACACTTTTTACTTTATAATGAAAGTATTCGTCTCCTCTTTGAGAAGCACGTGGCAACGCGGAATTTTTGGAGCAGGAATCGCCATTTCACGTAAGGACGCCATTTTGTATTTAACCGACTATAAAAGTAAATTATGACCATGATTCATATCCTTTCATTGATCAACATTATTCATATAACGAATGAGTTAATACAGTTTCGTAAGAGCGTACAGAAATATATCGATCACGAACAAATGATTATTTCAATTTCAATAACCATATGAGGGTCGTCCTATAAAAAAAAAACTGCGTAAGCCATTTCTCGAGCCCACACCAATAAATAAAAAAATCAATCCTCATCGCATTAACGCTAGAAATTCCACGAAAATAAAGTCGCAATTGTCTTATCTGGCTCTTGCGAAATATCGCTCGATATAGATAAAGGCAAACCGGCCGAATCACGTTTCATTTCGCCGAAAAGATGGGCGCCGAGACGACGCGGAGTTATATCGAGCGCATTCTCCCACGATTTTCTTAGAAGAAAATCCTAAAGATAATTAAAAAATAAGAATAATTACCGCCTCGTTTCTGCCACCGCCACCGCCGATGCCGCCGCCGCCCATTCCGCCACCCATTCCTCCGCCGCGGCTCGAGAAACGCGTGCCGCCTTTGCGGCCGCGAGGTCCACGATTACCGCCGCCGACCGGCGGGTTCCGCTCACGCGGATTCTCACTGCTGTTCTCGGCCGGCGCGTTCGCCGCCTCTGACTTTACGTTCGGAGTCTCCGTTCCGGCCATGGTCGTCGTCCGAGTGCGTCGTCCACCGTCGTCCTCGTGTAATGTACGTGTTGCGCGCGTCACGAGGCTCCTCCGCGACCGGAAGTCTCTACGTCGCTTCACGTCCGCTCCCGCGTCTCGAGTAGAAGCACACACCACGGCGTCCGGCAGCGAAGGGGACCGCCGAGCGCAAACGCGACGATTAATAGATGGCGGCTTCGCTCTCCCTCCACCATGCCGCCGCGGTGCATCGCGGACGCCGAGTCCCGCGCGAGGATTGGTCGAGCGCCGCGGCGAGACGCGCGCCGATTGGCGGGATTACTTCGCCTCGCAGGGCTGCCACATTCATCGTGGCGGAGCGGGACCCTAGCGAATTAGTTCGCGCAACGGCCGACAGATGTCGCCACGGGTACCGAATTTTTACGTTTAAAGGGAAGATGTGTCATATGTATTGGGAATATTTAAAATTGTTGAATAGCGATTAAATGGAGCTGCGTGGATTGATTGTTCTGGTAAGATGTCGTATTTTGTATATAACTTTGTTGTTTTTATGTTTGTTTTCGATATTGTCATTAACATCGGCATTATTATGAGAGAAATCGAAAGCGACGAATACTCGTTTTCTTGATATGTATAATTTCGGCAGGTTTTTAATTATGCTTTTTGATTATGTGTAATAGTTTACTGCCACAATTTGATTACATATAATTGGAATAATAGCAAAGTGTTGTCCAAATATTGTTTTATTATATAATTAGTGAAACATACTATTCAAATATATAATAGTGTACAGACTTTTATAAAAGAAATTTCTTTATACATTTATCGTTGAACAACAAATTTGGTTTCAATTCTATTGTACTTTTTCATATATCTTCACATTTTATAAATTTGGCACTAAACGTAATTTGTTTTTATTATATTTTTATTTATTTTTTTTTATAATATTATTATTTAATATTTAATTATATTTTATAATATTATTATATATAGTTAGAAAAAAAAATTTGTTCTATAAAAGAATGCATTAATTTGTTCACGAATGTACAGTACTTAAAAAATTGCAAATATATTTGTATAAAATTAATTATAATAGCATCGTAAAATTTGCAGATGCGAAACATCGCATTCAACGTGGCGGAATACATGAGATTCAACGTGTGAGCCTTGATAAGTTCGCTGATCCGACTTTCTTTGAGCACCGGGGACGACAGATGTGACCTAATGCTTCCGATCTGTCATTTAAATCACGAAGTTCGGCCACATGTTCCAGCATATTCGTGAGTACAAGCACAATCGCAATGGTAGAAAATCACGAGAGGGTTAGCGTTATAATAAATTTCCCGACGGGGTCGTTTACAAACACGTATCTGGCATTCGTATCGCGATTTAAGTAGCGAATTAGAATCGTGGCCGATGATCTAGATAATCTAGAACGATAACGCCGCGTTTGATTTCTCGTTGCACCACAAGGTAGATAGGTAGTTAGCTCTCGATGAGAGCCTGGCGGGATTGTATGTAGTTTTGTTACGTGTGACACACGTAACAATCAAGGACAACTCCCTAAAGGGAAGTCAATTGTGTCCCAACAGTCCGCAATGATCTCGGAAACTATCAGTGCGTTACATCACATACATGAATATATGATGTATCTCCCTCGTAGCTAGATAAAGTCGGCACATGTACAGAACTTTCAGAAGTTCGTTTTTGATTAAAATGTAGAAATAAAATTGATATTAACAATTCACACATGTCAAATTATTATCGACATTTTTATCTTAATTTTAAATCATGGTGTGAATATTTTATATCAACACAGTTGAAAAATTCGTGTTAAATTTAACATATATATCACATGTTCCAAACGATCCATATAAAAATTTTTGTGTTAATTTAACATAATGTCGATATATCAAATGGGAGACAATAATATCTTAGATTTTATCATCTTCATTTATATTATAAATAAATTTTAAAAGATTTTTAAATCTTGTCACTAAAAAAACAGAGATATTTATTGTGTAAAATTAAAAATAGATGCACATTGTGTTATTTTACATCTTTTTCAGTTGTTTTAATAATTTGACATTTAAGTTCAATTAACACAATTGCAATATGTTAATTGATATATGAAATTAAATATTTAACACAAATTTTCCAACTGTATAAATGATTTATATATTTGGATGAATTTTTGTGTTAATTAATCTTTATATTTTTTTTCTAAATCGAAAAGAAAATTATTAATGTATCTTTTGCATTCACATTTTTTTTTGTAAATTGAGTCTCTTCCTTTCACAAATTTAATCGTCAACCATATTTTACGTCCATCAAACGATTTTTGAAGAGCCTAAACACGTCTATTCATTGTGCTGTGACGCGAAAATACTAAGACTTCAAATAAAAAATTGGCTTCATTATAGAACGCAATTAAAAGATGATAATGGGGAAGAGAAAGGAGGAAAAGTGGAAGAACGCGCGTTGAAGTGCGGTATATATACAGTGTCCCAGATCTATCGGATAATACTTTGGAAACTTTCCGAAAAATTGCAAGTAACTTTCCTTGAGACAAGATTTTGTGTTATAAGCCGTGAAGAATATAGATTCAATCTTTGCATTATACGTATGTGAATAATAAAATCCTAATCCCATTTATTTAAAATTTAAAATAGCCTACCGTCCGATAGAATTCTGCTTTTCTTCATTTTCTCTCCAAAATTTAGCCATTAAAATATTTACATATTTGAATTTTATTAAAAGTTTTAATCCTCTTTCCACTCTGTATGAAATCTATCCTATAATATAGCTCTGAGCTATATAATATCGCTTACATTATATTAAA